ATACTATTCCCTATTAATATTTTGCATTATTACATTTCCATGAAAATTAAGAACAAGACAGTCATGTCTGTCATCATCACTATTCAACATTGCTTTGGAAAATCCAGCTAATGTAATAGTAATCAGAATAAACATTAGAGGAAATAAAATTATCTATATTTGCAGGTGAAGCAATTTCATATCTAGAAAACCCAAAATATATATTCTTAAAAATCCACTGTAATTCTAATAATTAAATAAGCTTATTAGATAGAAGATAAAAATACAAAAATCTATAGGCTGTCTATATTGCCAAAAATTGCAAGTTACAAATGAGGAGAAAAAATAATCAATTCACAATGTCAAAATACAAAATCAAACTGTAAAAATACTTAGAAATAAATTCCATAGTTATGGTGGACTTACGCGAAGAATATTACAATAACAAGACCAAAAGATTTCAATGATGTACTAAAACTCTTAACTGCTAAAGCTTTTTATTATTAAAGAATTCTCTAAACAAAAATGCAGGATTTTAATATAATATAATATAATTCTAATTGTGATGTCAACCATCATAATTAGAGTTCTATTAAAATCCTGCGTTTCATTTTTCACGTGAAAGAATGAATGTCTAGGACAGATTATGTAAAAGAAAAAGCAAAACTAATTAAGTGGGACTTGCTTTACCAGATTATAAAACCTACGGTGAAGCCACTATAATTAAAACATGATATTGGCCCGGAAATTTGAAAATGGGTAATATTTTAAATAAATGTCACAATCAGGTATCCAATGTGAACAAAATGTTATAGCTGGATCCCCGTCTTACACCATATACAAAATAAATTTCAGATGGATCAAACATTTAAATGCTAAAAATAATAAACTTATTAGAAGAAATGTAGGTGAATATTTGGATGACTTTAGGTGGGGGTATCCATGTGATAAAGAAAGGAAACAAAAATCTATAAAAGAGATAGTGGTTCACCTAAAAAGTTTTAAAATTATAAAGGAAAATATATCATCAATAAAGTCAAGATTAACAATAAGATGAAAAAAATCATAACACATTAGAGCTACAAATGATTAATATGCACTGCTTAGTAAGAATTCCTACAAATTTATAATGAAAAACATCGATAGATACATGAGCAAAGGATAAGAAACAACAATAACAAACCTCTTTGAAGTCAGATAAAAGGCAATTAAAGTAACAAGCAATACAAAGTAATTTTTAGCTTTTCATATTTTCAAGCATTGAAGAGTGCTGGAGAGGATGCTGGAATGAGCACTTTCATTTTGGATAGTAATCTTCTAACATTTCTGAAACATAGGCCTACATAGCATTTCTGGGAATCCAACCTATAGAAATAAAAGCACCAGTATGTATTACAGCAACGTTATTTTGAAAAACAGGAAATAAAAGACAATCAATAATGAAATGTTTGAATGCCCCTTTGGCATATCAACATGTACTGTGTATTCAGCTGTTAGAGGAAGGGTGTGCAGGGGACAGCAAGAATGCAAGAGAGTGAGAGTGAGGGCCAGGGAGAGCCAGAGGAGCAAGAAAGACTGAAGCTATTGATCAGAAGAGATAGCATCTACATGTCAAGAGACAAAAGCATGTGACTTGCCATTTTACAGAAACTATCAGAACATACTTTCTGTAAGATGATGGGGAAAACAGGTAGAAGGATGTACTTCGAGTCTTCAACACTTGTTACCTGGGAAGAAATAAAGTAAAGAAAGGAAGTGGGAAGGACAAGGCGTGGGTTTACACCATTAATTTTTCTTAATCGATTTTTGCATTGTTTCAATGGTTGCAAACACTTTTTAATTTTCTATTGGCACCCAAATTAAATGTTAAATTACAGAACTAGGCAATATCAAAAAAGTACCAAAGTACACTTGAGGCAAAACTGTGAAACTAGTCAAGGTAAGATTTGGAGGCACAATAAAATTTATTCACTTTCCTAAATTTTTGACCCCTAACCTGTTCTCTACGTTCACAATTACGAGGACACAAAATAATTTACCTATAAAAATTCCACAACTTCTGTAAAGAGCACAAAGAATTTAGGGAGTTTTCACCAAACCATAGACATAAATGTGAATATCATCATCAAACTTAATAAAGTAGACAGATGGCTTTGCCACCACTTGATGTATAAAAATGCCAGTTCTCTTGGACCCGTCATCTTTGGCATGCTCCACCTGCTTGCCCACGAGACTGTCGAGCACCTCTCCAGGCTCCCGTTCTGCTGTAGGGAAATAGTAGTTGGAATCTGGAATGATGCGTAGGTCACCATCTTTGTAGTCATCAAGCAGCGTGTACATATAGAGAACAGGATCTTTCTCGTAGGTGATGTAAAACCAAGTATCCATCACAGGAGCTCGCGCCAGGACCATACCCTTCCATTCATCCTTTGTACCGTGCTCACCTTCAAACACATGCCCTACTGCCTTGCCAATCAGGGAATCTGCCAGTCGTGAATCGATACGAGGAGTTGGTACTCTTTCAGGAAGGATCTCTAGCGCTAAAACTCTCTTATCGCGGTGCAGTTCTAGTCCATACACACTATCTTTGCCATCGTATTTAATGATATAGAGAGTGGGCTTCACGGAAACCTGCTCGAGCACAGTGCCCTTCCACTGCTCCACTGGCTCGTTGCCTTCCTTCCAGCCGTGTTGAATGCGGCAGCCCACGATGTTCCTACGAGTGAGGAAAGTGGGCTTGCGCCGTTGCTTCCTGTGGGTGTGCCTTTTCTTCATCAGGTATGCGGACACGCCATCTACCCCTATCGGAGGCACAGTCGGAGGAGACATAGCTCAGGGATTAAGATGGCTCGGAGAAAGCTGTTGCTCTGGTCGATTAAACTGACAAAAAGTCAACACTATGCAATGTGATATATTTTTTTTCGCGATCTCAAAAATCTGGTCTGTGCTCCCTTCTCCAAGTGCAAGGCTCTCAACAAGGTTTTGGCAGAAACGCTCGAACTCCAACCGTGAGCACTGGGACAGCGTGTGCCTCTCCGCAGCGCTTTCCTCTCTCGCCCTTAGAACGGTTACTGCAGCAGTGGCGGCTGCCGCAAGAGATGGCGGGCTCGCGTGTGCTGTTCGTGCCTTGCGCCCTCCCCAACCCCGACCCCAAGTCCCGGAATCGGCCACTTAGCTGTTGTCGATGCTAGTGCGGTTGCAGCACGGCGACAGAGGAGACGACGGGGAAGACAGACAAGGCGTAAGAGGGATGGCTGAAGCTGCAAAGGCGGAGGCGGCGGCCCGTCTCTAGGAGTCCGCGCGGCCTGGGCTTCGCTGCGCTAGTTGGCTTGGCTTCACTCTGGCGACCTGGTTTTTGCCGCCCTGGGAACCCGCCCCCTCCGAGCCCGCCTGCTCCTCGGCTCCGCCCCCCGCCATCCCGCCTTCCGCTCCGCGGGCTGCAGCCTGGCTGGTCAGCGCGCGTGCCCGCGTTCAGTTTGTATTGACACACGCGCTCTCTCATTTCCTCCTCCGCCCCTCGACCGTTTTCCTCAAACCCTAGCCAGACAGGCCGACTCCCCTCCTCCTCCTTTCTGGCGGTTTGCTGCCCGCCAGCCTCCTACACAGTGGCTCCATCTGCTTTCTGTCTTCCAGGAATTCCTCACTTAAAAAAAAAAAAAAAAAAAAGAAAGACACACGCACACACAGAGTTTGTGCATACAAATTATTTTCTTTCGGTTTAAGATATTTAAGATGAGAATAAAAAGGCTGTGTAAAATTCACAGTCCACCATCTTAATCCAAAATCTTTTATATTTTCTACCTGATAATTTCTGGTAATTAGATTTTTAAATCTTTTGTTGGTCAGAATGTAAATGTCATGTACTGATATTGTGGAGATCTTCTAAAATTCGGTGAAATGAAAGATAAAACTACCATTACTTTTGCCATCCAGACTGCACCAAAATGTCAACAATGCTGCTTTTTCTCCTGTTAATAAACCTGTGCTTATATTTTATAAAATTGCAAGCATATTTTATACTTTTATAACTTGTGTTTTTCATGTATATCATGAACATTTTCCAAAGTTATTAAGTACTCTGAAAACATGATTTTTAATGGTTCCATAGTATTCCTTTGTAATATTCCTTTTGTTGATCCACATCCTACATGATCTATAACATAAGAATAAATAAAAGGATTTTACCTTCATATATGGATTTATTTATAATCTAAATCATTTTTTCAAAGAATATTTAATAACCCAGAGATGAGATGACAACAAAGTTTGAAAAAATAAAATATTGAAACAATATTGTGGACTTAATTTTGTAGAGAAAGAAAGAATTTTTTGTGTATATATTTGCTGTTTTTCTGATTATAAAAGTACTGCATGCTTATATTGAAAACCTGAATGGAAAGAAAGTGTCCATAATTTCACTTACATTAAGTCACAGAGCTGCTATGAGGATTAAATGAGAATGTAAAGCTTTTAACACTATATCCCACTTACAAGAAGACATTAAAATCCAGAAGAGTCTAGGGTTCTCATTCTCATTCCTTCACTCTTCGCTGGTGAAAAGAGAAGGCATTATATAATTATGAGTAAAAAAGGCAATTAATTCACCTGGAAACAAACAAAATCAGGGGCAAAAGCTGCAAGGTGTCAATACTGGTTGCCTCAACATTTCATTAACTTCCAAGTCAGTGGCAGAGAGACCTAGTCCTCATACTGTTTAATAGCTGGTCACACAGAATGTGTAAGGATCCTTCTATTCACCATGTTTTCCAGGCCAAGGACTTCAGAGATGGGATAATTCTTTAATGCTGTCTCACAAGAAAGTAATTCTAAGGAAGAAGGTAAACTGCATGCATGAACAGTTATTTCCAAACTCTTTAGAATGACATCATGGTGTATACATATTCACACATACAAGCTACATGTTCATACTCAAAGTCAGAAGGTGAGTATGTGCAAATGTCATGCCATTATGTTCCACAAATAATGTCTTCCAAATAATACCCAGACCAAGATGCACGAACCTCTTTTTGCTTAGAAGAGCAGTTGACATGTGAAAGAAGAAAACAGTATCCTCAGGCCTTTGGTTACATCCTTCAAGGGAATTCTTTCTTATAACCCCACAAAGTGGCCTGAAGAGATGAAAAAATAATTCTAATAACCTTTCTTCTCCAAAATTATGATTCTAATATTCAGATCATCCACTAACATATAGATTCGAAAGGTCTTATCATGCTGACATAATGTTTATTTTGTATGACTCCCTCTAGACAACAAACTTATTTAAGAATGGACTTTTATCTTGCATCCCAAATACCTTACACAGAATAGGTACTCAATAAACGTTTGTTAAATGAATAAATAATTACTTTCAGCTGCCCTACCCCAATGCAAAGAAATCTTCTCAAATAAAACAAGTAGTCTTATGCAATCTTTTGAAGACTATAGTTCTGGCAACTCAGACTCTCCCACAGCAATTTTATCCATTTAAAACACCTAAATCACTCACCCTGTGAATACATGTGCCCATAAGTCTGAAAATGCTTAGAAGAAAACATTAAAGCAAGGGGGAGCAGGTTTTCATCAACCTACATATGTGGATAACAATAAAACTTACCTCAAAGTTTAAGTGTGAGGATTGAATTAGATAAATACATACTAAATCTCTTAGCACATGAACTGGTACATAGTAAGAACTCAGTAGTCTCCTAACTAGTCATTTCCTAAAACAAGTTATTTTGTCATATTATATCTTTTTACAAACCACCTGGTTCATAACCCATCCCTAAATCTTGCCTCTATTTTATACACAAGCCCTTTTTGCCAGGGCTTAAGTGTGAATCAAGGAGAGCTATGGCATGATTTGTTCCTTATATCCAATTTCAGAGCAGTATTTCAAATACTGGGAGCTTCTGGAAGACTGGTTTTTTAATAAATAAACATTATTAAAAATTAATTTAGGATACTTAGTGTTAATTTATAATTGGAGGGGTAGTGGAGTTAGGTATAACTATTGTTAATTCCAGTATGCACAGAAGATTATAATGCATGCCATAAAAGAGGTACAATTGAAGCACTACGGGACCCAAAGGAGGTAGTGATTTGTTATGGCTGGGGAGATCAACGAAGACTACTTGAATGTTTAAAATAACAACAAAAGAAGATATTCAGAGGGTGAGAGAATAGTGAGGTCTTTTCAAAGAGCTCAAGGAAATACACGGAGGGATGCGTGGTTATAGGACATCTGACAAACTAGTCAGGAGTCTGTGGGAAGAGCACAGAGTTCGTTGTGTAGTCTGTGGTGTGGAACAAAGTCAAAAACCTCAAAGGTGACAACTAATATTTCATCCACTGTTGGTGGAAGTAGCTGACATTCCAATTACCCTGACAGTGTAGTGTTGGCATTACCAAGTAGAGAGCTGATCTTCTATGCTTCATCTGACAGAAGTAGGCAGTGTTTTTATTTCCCTGGAAGATAAATATTGATGATCCTGAACAGAGAGCTGATCGATTACCCCCCTGGCAGAAGTAAGTGGTTCTCTGATTCCCTGGCCAGGAAAGCATCAGCAAGGTCTAACAGTAAGTTGCTCCACCACATTCATCTAGTAGTGCAAGTAATTGTTATGATACACTCTCACCCACACCCCCCCATATAAACCTGACAGCAATGAGATTGAATACAGTAGAACATGGAAGGACTAGTCAGCTCTCTGGTTTCCTATACCCCTAATGTCACTGAAAATCAGTGAGTAGCTGAGCTTCCATCCTCATCCACAGTCAGTGAGACAGAACGAAGGGAAACATGATGGGAAAAGATGGTACTCAACTTTCCCTAAACCCTTTGTGTCAATGGGGCGCAGAGTTCAGATGAACCTCCACTCCCACTTTGGGGTAATAAGATGGTATGAGCTAGTAACACATTTTTATCATGAAGGTATCAGCAAATTTGGGATGGGAGCTAAACTTCCATACTGCCCATGTGCAATGAGGCAGTGTGAGTTGGTGCTACACTTTTTCAAAGGTTGTGTCAGGGGAACCTAACAGAAGAAGCTGAACATACATAGAAAGCAGCTCTTCAGCCACAAAACAATAGGGGTCTCTCTAGCAAATAAAAATATTGCAGAGAACACAGAGTCTCATGATATAAAATTAAAACGTGATTAGGATGCAATGAAAAATCATACAAGGAACAAAGGAAATCACAACTTAAAAGATACAGAACAATTAACTGATGCCCAAAACAGATAAAAATTGATGCTGGAAATATCTGAAATAAATTGTAAAGCAGCCATTATAAAAAAAATGACTCGATAAACCCAGGCATTGTTGAATACCTTTAAGTATCAAGAGTATTTAGGGATATATGACCTCACCAAACTAACTGAAGAAGATGCCAGTAACCAACCCTGGAAAGATGGATTTGTGTGACCTCTCAGACAGATAATTCAAAATAGCTGTTTTAAAGAAGCTCAGTGAACTTCATGGAGAAACAATTAAGAAATTTATAAGAGAAATATAACAAAGAGATTAAAATAATTTAAAAAATCAAACAAATCATATAGGTGAAAAATATAACGGATGGAAAGACAAATGCCTTATGATATAACAACACTAGATTTGATCAAGTGAAGAAATAATCAGTGAGCTCAAAGACAAACTATTTAAAAATACCCATTCAGAGGTAATGAAAGAAAAGAAGAATTAAAAGCATTGAAAAACGCTTATGAAACCTATAAGACAGCCTCAAAAGACCAAATATAAAAGCCATTGGCCTTAAAGAGGGCATAGAGAAAGAGAAAGGGGTGGAAAGACTATGCAAAAAAATAATAATAGAAAACATTCCAAATGTAAGGCAAGACACAAATATTCAGGTCCAGCAAGAAAAAGGTCACCAGGCAGATTCAACCTATTACTGCTATGGTAAGGCACATTGTAATCAAATACTTAAAAGACAAGGACAAAGATGAGATTCTAAAAGCAGGGGGAAAAATGTAAGCAACATATAAAGGACCTCTGATACATCTAACTGCAGGTTCCTCAATAGAAACTTTTTGGGCCAGGAGAGAGTGGTATGACATATTCAAAGTGGTAAAGTAAAAAAAAACCTGCCAACTAAGAATACTGTACTCAGTAAAGCAATCCTTTAAAAAGAAAGGAGAGATAAAGACTTTCACAGACAAACGAATCTGAAAAAATTCATTGCCATCTGACCCATCTAGAAGACGTGCTATAGTTTTTTTAATCTGTAAAAGACACTGATATGCAACACCAACAAAAACACTTGAAGGTTTAAAAAACTCATTTGTAATTGTAAGTACACAGACAATTCAGTATACTCTAATAATGTAATTGTAGTATGTAAACCACTCATACCTATAGAATGAAGCAAAAAAGACAAATTAATTGAAAATAATAACAACTACAACAATTTGGTTAAAAATAGGCAATATAAAAAGATGTAAGGTGAAATGACAAAAAAGTGCAAAATGAGGTGTGGATGAAGTTAAAGTTTAGAGTTTTTTATTTATTTGTTTTTGCTTCTTTTCTTTCTGATTAAAGTTGTCATCAGTTTAAAATAATTCATTATAAGATTTTTTTATGCCTAATGGTAACCACAGAGCAAAGACCTATAGAAGATACACAAAAAGTAGAAAGCATGGAATTAAAACATACTATCAGAGAAAATCACTTAACCACAATGGAGGAAAATAAGAAAGGGAGAAAGGAGTTACAAAACAACCAGAAAACAAGTAGCAAAATGGAAGTAGTAAGTCCAATAATAGCATTAAATAGAAATTGACTAAATTATCTAATTAAAAGGCAGAGTGGTTGAATAAATTTTAAAAGACTCAACTATATGCTGGCTACAAGAAATTCTCTTGACCTATGATGACACACATAACTAAAGAGCGAAGTATGGAAAAAGATATTTCATGCACATAGAAATGAAAAAAGATAGATGTTAAATCAAAAACAGTAATAAAAGATAAAGAAGGCTGTTATATAATGATAAAGGAGTCAAAAGAGCAGGAAGATATAAAAACTGTAAACATGTAAGGCTGAACAATGGAACACCTGGATACATAAAGCAAACATTAACTGTCCTAAAATGGTAGCTAGAATGCAATGCAACAATATTAGGGTGCATCAATATGCACTTTCAGCAACAAACAGAATATCAAGATAGAAAATCAACAAAAAGATTATTAAGAGTTCCCGGTTCAGGGAGAAGATGGCGCTGTGAGAACAACCCAGGATTGGAGTTCTCGTTGTGTCTGCAGAGAGGTGAGTCTGAGCTGCATTTCCAGACTGATCTTTGTTGCTCACGGAACGGGGAAATTCCGAAGTGAAGAGGAGACGCGGGACGCCAGGCAGATATTCCGCCTGGCGAAGCCGGCAGCCGGGGTGGCGGCGGCCGGCCCTACCCAGCTCTCCCCACAGGGCGCACTTGTCCGGGTGCCCCGTTGAACCGGCAACTGGAGACGTGAGAGGGCTGGACTTGAGACTGAGCTAGACTTGAACAGTGGGCCAGCCCAGGGGATTGCAGAAACAGAGCGTTAGGATTGGCCTAGTGTGACGAACAAAACCGCGATTTCAAACAAGCCCCAAGCAGACGGCCCGAGACGCTCTGAGGGGGAGGGGCGGCCACCATTACCGAGGCAACCCGCCCCAACTGAGATACACGCCCATTGCTGATGCAGCCAGCCGTTGCCGAGGCAACCCGTCCCTGCTGAGATACACGCCCACTGCTGACGCAGCCTGCCATTGCAGAGGCAACCCGCTACAACAGAGAGACTCCGCCGCAGGGCGTGGCGGAGAACAGCAGAACAGCGGAGCCAGGGCGAGCCTCACAACAGCAGGGCGGAGCCTCGGCAGGCAAACAGTGGCTAGTCTGCATCCTAGCTGGGCAGGACCTCAAAGGACATCCAAAAATAAAGCCCAAACCCCTCAACACAGAGCATTTGAGAAAAAAAAGGGTTTTTTTAATGAGCTCTGTTGCAGCAGAATAAAACATAGCAGCCCTAACAGCCCTGAATGAACAACACAGCTCACAGCTCAGCAATTAAACCCCTATAAAGTACAAACTGTCTCCTCAAGCAGCTCCCTGACCCCTCTATATCCAAAAGACTGA